CCCATGGAAAAAGAAGGAAAAGATGAAAAATAACCACCATGATGATCATGACTTTGGAGAGACAGAGACGGTCAAAGCAGCTTTAGAAGACTTGCTGTGTGCTGTGTGACATGATGCTTCTTTGCAACCTCCTCCAAGGAAATGTCCACTGAAAAGCTACATTGCTCTGCAAGGCTTTCATTGTTGAATTGGGGTCACACCATTTAAATGTGACACTCTGCTGAGATTGGACCACCACAGTTGAGTTTTTATTGGGGCTATAATGGTCTAAGAAAACAAACCTAGGTGTTAAAGAAATATGCATAAAGTATTAATGAAACTGATATTTATAATAATAAAAATATATAAATGGTCTATGTCCAGTAAAAATAAATCACAGTAGGAATAAAGTGGGTATCTTTCAATAACGAAGTACTGCACAGACAATTAAAAATGATGGTTATAGAGATTTTATAATAACAAAAAACATTACAATAAAAAAAAAGAAAAGGGAGATTATATAAATTCATATGTAATATGTTTAGGCTACATATAAAAGATCATATGCATTCAAAAAGAGGCTGGTTAAAATCAGAACAATGAAAGATTGTTTTTTATTTCCATCCCACCCCTTTCTTCTTTAAAAACCATCTTCCTAGGACCTCCCATCTGTACACACCAGGAGCACATGCTTTGCTTTTCCATTCTTCCCAAAGTCCTTCATAGCCTTTCTGAAAAAGCTGAAAAGAAGCTGCTGGCACAAGCATCCTAGAAATCAACAATCAGTAAACTGACAGTTAGCAAGTACAGTAGAGACCTGGGGCCCATGCTAACTGTCCCTGTGCACCAGCCACTCCTGAACCTGAAACCAGGCTCATAACAGCTCAAGAGCTGTCCTCAAGGACCCTGTCCCTGTCCCCACTAAAGTAGGCTAACCTAGAATTTCTACTACATCTGTTGACTTGAAGGATTTCTTACTCTCAAGACCAGTCCACGTGGCAATCCGAATACTCCAGAAATTGGGTAAGAATTTAAGTTCCCTGACACCTTAGGGCAGGGGTTCCCAATCTCCAGACCTTGGACAAGGCCTGTTAGGAACTGGGCCACACAGCAGGAGGTGAGCTTGAATGTAATGTGCTTGAATCATCCCAAAACCACCTCCCGCCCGGCCCCAGTCTATGGAAAAATTGTCCTCCAGGAAACCACCAGTCCCTAGTGCCAAAAAGGTTGGGGACCGCTGCCTTAGGGTGTATGCTTTATCACCACCCTTGCCTGAAATGACAGCAAGGAAGACCCTTATCTTTCAGGACAGAGGATAATTAAGTAAGGAAGAGACACCAGGAGCATTCTTTCTCTCTTTCACAATACTATACAAGCAAATGCCACCGGAGACAGAGGCACTTAGGGGCCAGTTCAGTTACACACAGAACTCAGCAAGGCGGAGGATGCCTGTGAACTCTTTGGAAAAGATGCTGGAAGAGGGTGGACACCTAGGGAGGGTGAGGAGCCACCTAGGCAAAGCTGTGAACCACAACAACCGTCCACATTGGATGTGCAGAGGGACCAGCTCCTCCCACCGCAGAATGTGCCTGCCTATTAAATATCTCCCAGAGGAAGAGTGGAAATACCATTCATTTGCAGCTCAGTAGGATATTAAAAAGAAACAATCAAACAAAAAGAAACCTAATGCTTTTTCCTTATGACAGTGCTGCCCAAGCAGACCAGAAAGCAATTATGTTGGGACAGTTATTCCACCTTTGTTTAACCAGGTATCAAATGAGTAAAGAAGGGGTTTTCCTATGAGTCAGTCATTTTCTTGGGGCACGTGTTTGATGGCTGCTGCTCCATAGTGTAAGATTTCTAGGTGACCTCACTTGATGGAGTTAGAACATCTGGAATTCATAAAGAAAACTTTATTTCTCAATGAAGATTTTATTGACAGTGTTAATGAATAGTATGCCCCATGCCCTGCCTAACCCACAGGTATTGTGGGGCACAAAGGAGGAAATGGATAAAAGGGATAGCCCTTTACAATCTCTAACACACCTTCACGGCCATTACAAGGATCGTCATCTTAGATAAAGAGCAAGTATGAGGCATGCGTGGGGTCGGCTCTCCCTTCGGCACCCTTGACAGAAATCACTTCTCGAGCACAGTGTTCTCCCAACAAATCCCCTCCAGGCTGCTACTTTCCATACTGTGAAGGTTGCGTGGGGGAAGAAATGTGCCATTCATGAAGAATCTATCCTTAGACATTTGCAAATCTCCAAATTGCGAATTACAACATTTGAACAATATTACTCCTGAATTGCGTGTTCACTCTATTTGTCTGCATCCCATACAATAAACATGATCGAAGTCTTTTTAACGTCATCTTTCATTTCAATGTCTTGTCTTTGGCATGACTATTCTCCCTCTGTTTCTCCGCCCTCACCAATCCCACCTCACTGTACACCATCCCTCCCGAAAAAGTAATTTTAAGTTTTTTTGTTGTTATTTTTTTTACTACTCCATAAGAATTCTGACTCAAAGAGTAGAGGAATATAGAGTTAGGTTGAGATAGGGATTCTTAGAAGTAAATCAGGCCCATTTAATTGTAAACAGATGTCCATGGGCATGTAATCTGTGCCTGAGATTCAAATTTGTGTCCCAGAAAAATGACAGATTACTTATGTGCCATGGCCTTCAGAATTGCTAATAAACATAGTCCATAAAGACTTATAACTCACAAATTATAAATTGGAAATACAGAAATGAAATTGCTAAGCGTCCAACAGATCATATCTGTTTCTTTCAATAACTGAATGAAATGGATGAGAATATTGTTCCCATTATGTGGATGAAGAAAACGCAGCTTAAAGAGACCCTGTCTCAGCCAGAGCTGCGCTCTACACTCAGAAATCTGCATCTCGTCTTTTCTCAAGGAGGTTCTGCATGGGTATTTCCACTCCTAACCCACGTAGGCTATGTCTCTCAAACATAAGTGGTTTAGAGCTTCCCGCAGCCTTGGATTCTGTCATTGAGGGGAAAAAAAGTCTATGTAAAAAGTTGTTCTTCTTCCGTGACTCCTATGACATCTTAAAGAATAATCACAGCAATTATACATCAGAAACAAAGAAGAGATAATTACAAAAATGAAATTTTCAGCTACCACTTGGCTAGCTTGCATGGGCACTGACTTTTATATTTCCCCATGGGGTGGATATGAAAGAAGCACAGAGTGGAAGAGAGATGAAGCACAATTATTAGGACCCAGGGATTTATTCTTCCTGCCGCACAAAGGAAGGGGGAGGGTGGCAGCAGCTGGGACGGTCTGCTCTTGCTCTCTGCAAAGATGGAAAAACATGGCCCTTCACCCTCTTTATTTTCATTTCCTTCGGAAACAATGACAAGGCTTATCCAGTCGACGGTAGTTTCCTTCTCCATCAACACAACTTCCTAGTTAACTAACTGTCTCACTGTCCCAGGAGCCTGTTTGAGGGACTCTGAGTGACAGCACACTGACACTAGAAACTGGTCCATGTTAACCGAGCAAAAGCTATAGTTCCATAGTCGGATACCAGAGGAACAAGTGTTCCCTATTTCCTCCTTAGTCTATTGAAAATCGTAATGGTTCCAAGTACACACCAAGTAATTATTGTAGTAATCATTACAGACCAAATAATACCAATCTGAAAAGCACAAAATAACTGGGGATAGTCTAGGCATTGAGTCAAAAGCAATACTCCAACTCCCTTTTCCCTCCCAGTACTCTAAACTGTATGCACTAAACACGGTTTTCACAGTGTGCTTCGGAAATCGTCATTTGTAGCTCTGGACATAGTCTTACGGGTCCTTCCAAAGACACTGCTGTAGATGTACGTATGTACAAGGTGCTCATCACTGCCAGCTCCCTGCCACACCCACACCAAACCCACCCCATCCTCATATAGGGCGTAAGTGCCCCATTTAAGGGCGTAAGTCCTTAAAAAGGACTTTTTAAGGGAGTTGCCCTAAGGTATTCCAAGGAGACATGAAATACTACTTTCCAACATTGTGAATTTTGGATTTGTTTTAGATCAGGCATATAATAAAGCATGTGATACTCTTTAGTGCATGCTTCCTAATCTTGAATGCTTTGACTTTCTCCTCTACTGAAAAAAAAAAGATACAAGTAAGAAGTATTTCATGTTAGAGCAAAGAAGAGCAAGAGGTAAAATTATATCAAAACAAGTTTATCTTGTGATAACTAAGGCAAAAATTGTATAGATCTATAAAGGAACACCAATTAATAAAGTCACTTTCTGATTGGGGGAGGGCTAATTCTCCTTATGGAATATGAACTCACTCCTATAAAAGCTTTTTTCAAAATGTTCTCCCCAGAAGTTGTTCTGAAGGATTTATCAGGTGTGAATACACACCCACACACAAACACACAGATTCGGTGGTAAAAAGTGTGGGAATAAGCCACTTAAAGTTCAGCAGCCTTCTTCACTCCAGGCCTCCTCAGAGTCTAACACTCTAACACAAATCCTAAGTCTTCAGGAGTATAGAGTTGGCCAATCATATTCCAGATTATTTGACTATAAAAACACTTATGAGAAGAGAAACTTTATGGCTGGGACTAGAGCTCTTCGGAGGACATTTTAGGAAACACTGCCTTTTCAAATAGGCACAGAGAAGATTTGGGGTTTTTTTCCAAATAGAAGAGACTAGTATACAGCTAAGAGGGCCTGGCCATGACCTTCTCATTGAGCTCTCTAGCCCAGTGCTTCTTGAACTTTAATGTGCATGTTAAATCACCAGGGAAGTTGTTCCATGCTGGCTCCTGATCTGTATGTCTTCCTGGAGAATCTGCATTTCTAACAAGTTCCCAGGTGACATTATTGCTGGTTCAGGAACACCACTTTGAGAAGCAAAGGTCTAGAGCACATGTGCCTTCAGTGATGAAGGCATCCAGGAATTGCCCACAGTGCTTTGCTGTCTGAGAATTCTTTATCCAAGAAGGTGAGTCTGTGGCAGAGTCTGTGGACGGGGCTTACCAGTAAAACCTGTTGGGGGTGATGCGTTCATGCATGAGTTGCCAGTGTCTCCCAAAGTCCATGGAGCTGTAGAGCTGCAAAACAATGAAGTGAGGAGAACATAAGTACTTTCAACATGAATACATGGGTCTCCCCTCTGGAGAATGACTCCAACCCACCAGAGTGCCTCATACACCCAAGCAGACATCTGTTGTATCCAGATATAAATACATGTATATGAGTACACTATGCTTATTATTGTGCTTTCTGGCACAAGTAGGTTCTTAATATGCATGCCATTGACTGATGTTTGCAAGCTGAGTATAAATCCATTTCTGATGCCATCCATCATTCTCTCCTTTAGAGGTAAAATCTTTAATAAAAGTATGTCTCCATCTTTCCTCAAAGTCCATAAAAGTCTTCAGTCACATCTAAAACAATTCAATTTCAAAAGTATTTATTGGCAAGTCCTACATGTAAGGTGCTCTGGTGGATATCAATATGAAGAAGAGGCAGATTCTGGGCTCAGAGAGATAATAGAACACCTATGTAAAAATGGTCATCAGCTGGGATCTGAGCCAATATTACTTGCAAAAGATGGGGCCCTTTCAGTTTTCTCTCTTACTGCTCCCATATATAATCTAAATGAAATGGACCCCTAAGTGTCACTCAGGATACCAGGTTCATTATGCTCCTTGCAAAATGGCAAAGATAAGGCTCCTCTTGTGCCTAAGTAAAAATTACCCACCCGTGCAGGACTAGCACAAGTATGGCTTCCTCTGCAAAGCTGTTCTGACCACTTCGGCCCACTCATTGTTCCTCCTTCCCAATCCACTGTACTCACCTTTGGTTTCCACTGAGCCCTAATCACAGGCCAATAATGTATGGTTATGTCTTTTGGATTTCTTTGTATTTAGTTGTGTTTATATTCCTTGAAGGCATATAAAGTGTTCACCAAATATCTGTTGCATAAATCACTCATTCAAACAGGCAGGTAAGGGTGTGGAGCAACTCAGAGAATGAGAAAACATTGTAGAAGAGCCCCCAGAACTTTGGCAAAATGTTTGAAAATACCTCTGCATGACTAATAGCATCAGATTCTATATTCACTTATTTTATGGATGTAGAGTCTGACTCCTTTGTAACACATAAGGGAAAGCCCAGCATACCTATAAGAGACTAGCTAAGAGGCTGGGGTTTCTTTTCAACAGAATGCCTGATAGTGAAATATCTGAATCTGGTAATGAAACAATAATAATACTTCAACCACATTGTTCTTTCACATACAGCTAAGCCTTGAAAAGCCACTGTAAGAAAGGACAGTAATTACTAACATAAACTGCTGTTCCCAAGCATTTTCTGATCAACCCAGGCAGAGTTCACTCACTCCATGGTGTCACCACTATTTTCATTGTCTGCCCTTTGGAAGTTGTTCACACTGAGCCATTTATAGTTGGAAGTCTCTCCTCCTACTAAACTGTGAGTCAGAGAGGGGCAAGGATCATGCCTCACTCACCTTCACATGTCAGTGGTTATACAATGCCGGGGCCTAATAGGGGAACACATGAATCTCTTTCACAGTTAAGGAAACTCAATCACAGACAAGTTAATTGGGTCAAAGAAACTAGGATTTGAGTGTTCTGACACCCACCTAACATCTCCTTCCACGGATCACTGTATCTAGATTATAATGAAGATTTCACCATATCTGTATTTCTCCCACAAACTTTTATAGGTAGAGAAATTTAAAAAGACAAAAGTACATGGCCCTCAAGTTTCCAGAAATGGTGTCAGTTGAAGTATATTCCTGTAACCACATCCCCAGTAGCTGCTCACCTGTAGGGATGCACTGTCCCACACAACACGCCCACGTAACTTTGCTGTTAAGTTCTGAAACCATAATCTTATAGTCCGTGCAGAAATCAATTTTTAATAAATTCCTGGTAATTTCGAAAAAGGTTTCAGGGACGTGGGAAAATTTTGGTCCACTTCAATTTAATTTTACAGATATTTATTGAACATTGGTACTGTGAACTACATAAAGAGTCTCTTTTTTGTCCAGTGAATGACAGATGTGTTTGAGTTCCCATTTTATAGATTAAGATCTCAACACTTGGTCTCCAACGTGACTGCAGTAACAATATGCAAAACAGGACGTCATCCTGACTCAGCTGACAGCAAACTTCTACTGCACCATACCAACGCTACACCAACTCTCAGTTCTCACCCCATTTATCCAAACTGGGCTCTCGCTTCATGAGTAAGTACTAAGTACTATGTGTGTCCAGCTCTGCCCAGGAGGGGGAAATAGGCAACGCTCTTCCCCACCACTCTCTGTCCCTTTATTTCTTTATCAACTCAGTGAATAAAACAATACTAGCCCTATACCATTAAGTGGCAAAGCACACAGAGCCGCATCCAAGTCTTCAAGCAGCAAAGAGGGTAACGGCTTACCATCAAAATATACATGCAGATGTACTACATAAAAGAGGAAAGGGGGCAAAGGTTAAAATTCTAATAGGGGTGTCCAACCTTTTGGCATCTCTGCAGCACAGTGGAAGAAGAATTGTCTTGGGCCACACATTAAATACATTGTGACACATAATCAACAAAAAAATTGTAATGTTTTAAGTAAATTTATGATTTTGTGTTGGGCCGTATTCATAGCCATCCTGGGCCACATGCAGCCTGCAGGCCACAGCTGGGACACCCCTGTGAGGAATGGGCAAGATTAACAGGGGTAGACATGGGACAACAAGGCTTCCCGAAGAACTACATCTTGAACTAGGCCTTTGGATGTAGGTGATGTGGACAGAAGAGAAGGATGATGGAGATTGTACTGGGTGCAGGAGACAGTAAGAACAAAGGCAAATAAGAACAAAGGCGTCAATATGGCCAAGGTCTTGGGTTTGGCTTGTGGAGAAACTTTTCCAAGGAGGTTGATGGCCACTGTTACTGGCTGAAAAGAGATAGAGGCTGTCAGTCTGACTGTCCATCCATCCATCCATTCATCCATCCATCCATCCATCCACTTGTGAATGTTTCCACATCTATCTGTATGTATATCTATGTTGGGGTGGTTTGGGAGGAAGGACAGGGTTTGTGAGGACCAGACGATCCCACTGAAGATTGTATATCCATAAATTTTACTGCAAAAACTGAGTTTTCAATGCAGGGTTTTAAGAAATGGAACACTGTCCTTCCCACTGCAGGTGTCTGAGGGATATATGCTCAGACATGAAATCCATGTTTCCCAACTAAATACAGAAGACACTTTAGTCAGAGCCCTCTATAACCCAAAGATACTATTAGAGTCTCCGTCATCCCTGATCCCAATCACAGCCCCCAATTCCTCCATGAAATCCAGCATGACCACTGCTGCAAACTCTAGGGGCAGGCCAGGGATAAACCACGAGGGTCACACTGACACGGCAGGGTCTCCATTTCCTGGGGACACAATCAGCCCTTCCATCACGGAGGGTCCTGGTGTGGCAGGGTGCCATCTGCCCCAGCTCCTGCTAGCGCTCATCCTTGAGAAAAGCATGGCTCCGGTCCTCTCACACTCTTCCTAACAGATCAAGAGATGAGCTTCTGACCTCCTCATCCAAGCCTATTCTACCTCCTGCCTCCCCTGTTTCTGGTTTTGCTTTTTCAGTTCTTCAGTTTGACAGATGGAAGTAAAATTAAATTGAATTCTCTGCTTAGAGGCTGATTCAGATGCACAGAAAGAGCAGGCTCTTATTCATTAAGGGCCTTGGATTAGCTACTGTGTCTCTCAATCTAGAAAGTTTTCAGCTGAGTGCGAAACGAATTTTATTCTATCACAAGGTGAATCTTTGCAGCCTCTCCATTTGTACATCTGTTCATCCATCTCTTCATTCATTCATTCACTAAAAGTATATCAAGCAACTGTTATGCTTTAAGCACTGAACTGAGTGCTGGACTTACAAAGGTTAAAAATGCCACGAATAGTGGAAGACACAGAAGCCTACACTGTCATGCTAGCAGTGTTACAGCATTGAAACTAGTTATCTCTGCAATGGTAAGATCGTGGGCCATTGATACTTTCTCCTTTGGAATTTTTAATTATTGTGAATATTACTTTAGTAATTAAAAAATTAAAGCTCTAACACTCCATGAACATAGGGGTACTTATATTTATTCAAATTAGCGTTTCAAGTTTCTCAAGATAAATCCTCAGAAGTGGAATTTCTGGGTCATAAGACAGTTTCCTTTTTAATTTTTTGCGGTAACTGCATACTGCTTTCCACAGTGGCTGCACTGGTCTGCACTCCCCCCAACAGTGCAAAAGGGTTCCCCTTTCTCCACATCCTTGCCAGCACTAGTTTGTTGATTTATTGATGATAATCATTCTGGCCAATGTGAAGTGATACCTCATTGTGGTTTAAATTCACATTTTTCTCATGATTGGTGATGTTGAACATCTTTTTATACCTCTTCGGGCCACATGTATGTCTCTGTGTTCATTGCAGCGTTATTTACAACTGCCAAGATTTGGAAGCAGCTTAAGTGTCCATCAGTAGATGAATGGATAAAACAACTATGGGACATTTACACAATGGAATATTACTTAGCTAGAGGAAAGAAAATTTTACCCTTTGCAACAGGTAAAGGATGGACCTGGAGAACATTATACTGAGTGAAATAAACCAGTCACAGGAAGAAGAATACCATATGATTTCACTCATATTTGGAGTTTAATGAACGAAGTGAACTAACAAGCAAAACAGAGATAGACTTGGAGATAGAGGGCAGGCTGACGGTTCTTGGTTGGAGGTAAGGGCGGGTTAGTGCGTGGAGGGCTCGAACACAAAAGTAAAAGGGCTCATGGACATGGGCAACAGTGTGGTACCTTCAGGAGGGAGGGGGTAGATGGAGGCAGAAGAGGGTATAAAGTGGATAAATTGTAATAGAAAAAATACAATAAAAAATAAATTAAAAAATAAAAGTAAATTTTTAAAAAGCTGTAACACTCAAATGAAAATGAAGCACACAGGTACATAGGTAACCACTAAATAATAAGTGTTAGAAGAGTATCTAATGATATGAAAAATGTTTATAATATATAATTTAT